ACTTACTCAGAGAGCTTTTTCTAAACAGTTCACAATGGGAAATATGTTTACATGATTGTACATGTATAAACTATATCAGATTGCTTGCCGTCTTGGGGAGGGAGGATGAGAGGGTTGGAGGGAAGGAGAAAAAATTCAAAATTCAAAGTCTCATGAAAAGAAATGTAGAAAATTATCTTTAAAAGTAATTGGGAAAAATAAAATACTATTTACCAAATAAATAAATAAAATAAGCAGTTCACCATAGTTTTAAAAAAATGTTTTCATTCATGGTTTTATTGATTTCCAGGGTTAGGAAAAAACCAGGAACAATTAACAGTAGTGACTTGACTTGCCTTTTTCTGATTCTCTCTCATCTTTGATCTCTAGCTGTCTTTAGTGTAGCTGCCTCTGAATATCCTATTGTCAGATAAAATGAATCATGGAGAAGACAGAACTTCATAGTCTTCCCTTAGTTTTCTCGATCATCAGGGCTGATGCATCCTTGTAAAACTAATTACAAAATGCAAAGTTCTCTTCACCTTCCAATTCATTCCCCACATCTTATTCTCCTTCCCCTTCCCTTTTCTCTTTCTCTGTTTTCTGGGACCAAGATTGGTCTTTGGAATTATGAAGAATTTAGCTTCTGTTTATTTTTCTTTTCATTTACATTATTGCTCCCCTGGTTCTCATGTTTCACTTTGCATCATTTCACACAGATTTTACCACAGTTCTATGAATTTCTGATACATATCATCTCAACAAACTGTGAGGATCCTGAGAGACAGCATGGTATAGTGGAAAAAGTGATGGAGTCAGAGGATCTGCATTTGTATGGGCATTCTCTCATGAAAGTAATTTAATCTCTCTGGGTCATGATTTCTTCCTCTAGTTCACTTCTCGGTGCAGCATAGCCAATGGTTTCTTGCTTTTAGTCTGTAGTGTCTTAGCTGTCAGGATGATCCATGTGCTGACTATCCAAGGAGGTTGCTCTTCAAGGATGGCTTCTATCCAGCCTTGTCTTTAGTTGCTGTAGCTACTATCAAACTCTGGAATGAATTTTATTGCCAGGACTTTGCTTGCTCATCTTTCAAAGTTCACAAGATCACAACCTTACATTTTCTTTGCCCTATACTCATTCACATAAAATCAGTACAGAATAAACACAGAGGCAAAGAATGAGGCACCATATGTTCATAACTAAGTGGACCAGCAGGGGAAAGATAGAGGAAGAGACGGAAGGAGAGGGAAAGAGAGAGGAGGGGAGGCTGGTAGAGGGGAAGAGACAGAAACAGCGACAGAGACAGAAGGAAGAAGAAAGAAAGAAGAAAAGAATAAATAAAAGAGAAAAAAAAAGAACCAGCCTGAGGCTTCTCCTATAACTGGAGAACCATGGAATTTCATCTTCCTGTTCATAGAAATGCTGCCAGGAAAGTGCAACTCTGCCTCATTTAAATCCAATTCATAAGCAAGTCAAGCCATCATACCACGATGTCATTGATCCTCTTTGAAAATGAAGGACAAGGGCAGCTAGGTGGTGCAGCTAGGAGTACTGGCCCTGGAGTCAGGAGGACCTGAGTTCAAATCGGGCCTCAGACACATAACACTTACTAGCTGCATGACTCTGGGCAAGTCACTTAACTCCAATTGCCTCACCAAAAAAAAGAAAAAAGAAAAAAGAAAAAAAGAAAAAAGAAAATGAAAGACAGACAAAAACTATGTGCCAGGCACTAAACTAAGTGCTAGAGTTAAAAATAAAAAGCAAAAACAACTCATTTTCAAGGAGTTTATATTCTAATGGGGAAGACAATATTTACATAATTAGATATATACAAAATACATATAAATGGCAGGTAACCTTAGAGAGGAAGGAATTAGCATCGGAGGTAGGGGAGTAAGTACAGACCAGGAATCACCTCTTGTAGACTGAGAATATGAGCTGAATCTTCAAAGAAAATAATGATTCTAAGAGGAGAAGGTAAGGAAGGAGGACATTCTAGGCAGGCAGGACAACCAGTGCAAGGTCAGGGAGATTGAAGATGGAGCACTTGGGTATGGAGAACAACCCATAGGCCAGTATGCCTGAATCATAGGGTGAGAATAACATGTAAGAACTTCATTGCCTTACTACATAGGGTCTTTCATTCTCTGCTTAATTAAAACATAAAAATTCCATTCCATTTTCAAATGACCTATTGAATTTCTGTTTACTGTTCACCTAGTTTGATGTCTTTAACATTTAAAAAATAGGTTAGTAAATCTTTATTGAATGAAAGAATGATGTTTACTATTGTGGATAAATCACTTTGTCTCACTAAACTCCACTGGCCTCTTCTGCAAACTGCAGATAACAGTGCCTGCCCTATGTACCTCATAAGGTTGCCATGCAGAAAATGCTATCTGAACCATAATGTAATACATCATTGTGAACAACTTATCTTTAAACTTCATATGTTGAGTGAAATTCTAGTGCTTTCAACTTAGTCAAAATTATATTATTGATGAAGTAATAAAAATGATAAAAAGTGATTAAAGTGATAAAAAAAGAAGCAAAGATGACTTTTACATTGTTAATTGCTTCCTAAGAGACAGTGAAATAAGGCTACTGGTTGCTCCTAATTTTGACACAGAATGGTGAACTAAGCATTGAAAGCCTGTAAAGAAGTTTATTACCTCCCTCAGGCCAGGGAGTTCCACAAAAGGCTTCACAGAACAACAAACAGTGAAGATCCCTTGATTTGTTGCATTGTAAACTCAGAGCACTGATGATATTTAAGTAGAATCAGATTAATTGAACAATTCGTTTTCTTTTTTATTAATACAATTTATTTTGACACAACAATCATTTTTCAATAAGCAGGCTGTAGCATATTCTACTTTCCTTAGTAAAAATAGTTAAGCAAACCCGCCTAATATAATGATTACGATTGACTGCCCTGATGGTTTCTCATTTATTAGAAAGAAAGAATAAAAGGACTTTTTAAATGTGAATCATTACTTATAAACAACATCAGCCATTGTTTTTGACCCAAATTCTGTTCGTTTATGTTACCTTTAGTTCCATTATTGAAGTTATTATGTATACTGTTCTTTTTGTTCTGCTTTATTTTTAAGGTATCTGTTCATATACATCTTCATATTGTTCTTTTTCATCAGTGATTTCTCATTATATTCATATACTACAATTTGTTTCCATACATTTGCTACTACAATTTGTATTACTATGAATAAATTGGTGCATATAGACTTTCTTTACAGTATTGACATCTCTGGGATAAAAACCCATTAGTGGGATCATTTGATTAAAGGCTATGGACAATTTAGTAATTTTCCTCATATAACTGCAAATTATTTTGGGAATGGATAGACCAATTCACCTCTATACTAACAGTGTATTTCTGTGTTTCTATAATCCCTAAAACATCATTTTTTTCTTTTTACCACCTATACCAATTTGATGGGTATGAAGTGGTTCCTGAATTCCACTTTAATTTATAATTCCTTTTTTATTAGTGATTTGGCACATTTTTATGTAGGTGTTAATGCTTTACATTTTTTCTTAAAAACTCTTCCTTGTCCTCTAATCACTTTTCTTTTAGTAAATGACTCTAAATTCATTGATGTCAAATCAATGTAGATTCTGGAGGTGAGACTTTTATTATCATGCATTGATTCCCCCCTCCAATCCATAATTTTTTTCTTATTCAATTTGCATTTACTTTATTAATAATGTGAAACTTTTAAAATTTTATACAATAAAAATGTACCTTTTGTCTTTTTAAAAACCTCCATACCTTGTCTGCTTATGAATCACTAAGCATAATTGTGAAAGGTCTAGCATTCTATTATTCTCTAATTTATCATGACAGGAAGTTTTATATTTAGATACAAATCCATATATAATTTATTATGTCATATAGTGTTAAGATTGTAATCTCAGCTTATTTTGTGACAAGTTGCTTTTCAGTTTTGCCAGAAATTTTTAATGAATAAAGAATCCCCTTCCTTGTATTCATGGGTTTTTTGAATACTACTACCAGTGCCAAAATAACTTTGATAAAATAATTTGAGTCCATATAGTCCTGATGTTAGGCTGTTCATAATTCATTTATTATTTCCCTTGAAATAGCTGACCTTTTGTTCCTCAGTTCTTAATTTTGTTGATATTTAATCAAATTGTAGAAAATAGTACCTTAGCAGTTTGATTGGCATAATATTTGGTATGTAAATTCACCTAGGTAATATTATTTTTATTACATAAATATAACCGAATATAATAAATTATTAATCCCTCTCATTACTTCAGTATATCTTGATTTTTATAGTATATGTATAGACACACATATATACATATATACATGCATACATATATACACACATACGTTTATACATATATGTGTGTGTATATATACATGTATGCATGCATGTATGTTCTATATGTATCTTCTGATGTTAAGGGCAGCTAACAGTAGCTGGATACAGTGTGTAGGTACGGTGGAGAGAACTCTGGGCCTAGCATCAGGAAGACTCAAGTTCAACTCTGGCCTCAGAGACAGCCTGGGTCACATTCTCTGCTTGCATCAGTTTCCTCCTCTATAAAGTAAGGATAATAATAGCACCTACCTCCCAGGGTTGTTGTGAGAATCGAAGGAGATAATAATTGTAAAGTACTTATTAGCACAGTGCCTAGCATATAGGAAACACTGTATAAATGTTATAATAATGATGATGCTAGACCCCAAATATTTTATGGATTTTATAGTTACTTTAAATAAATGTTCTACCTTTTTTCCCAAATTTTCTAGCAATACATAGAATTATTAATATTTTTGTGGATTTATTTTGTGTCATGCTGTTTTGCTGAAGCAAATTATTGAATTGATGAAGTTTTTTGTTAATTCCTTAAGGTCTTCTAAGAAAACTATAGAGATAACTTTGCTACTTTTCTGTTGGTATTTATTCTGTTGATTTTGTTCTCTTGTCTTTGCTCAAATCCTAACTCATTGGTAATTTATTTTCAGATACATGACAGATGGAGGACTAAACCTATATACCAGAAGTTTGAACCGAATACCAGATTTGGCAACATCTCGTGATGTCATTCAGAGAGGGGTACATGATGTGACCGTTGATGCAGATAGGTAACTATATAAAACTCTATGAATTTTAAGAGCATTTGAGCTAATTAATTGTACACAGAAGAGTTTGACTCCATCAATTTAAAGAAAGGGACACCATTTTGTTGTTGCTGTTGTTGTACTGTTAGGATAATTCTGAATATTTCACTACCAGATTTTTTTCCAGGATATTTTAATAATTATAAAATTGAACACCCCATAGTTATTTTTAATTAGTTGTTGGTTGGTGAGTCATTTTTAAAAATTCAGACTATATTATTATGACATAACACATAAATGAATAGTACTGAGAAAAAAAAGAATAAGCCTATGGCATTTTTTTAATTAGTGCCATGCTTAAGTTATATAATTTTATGACACTTTAATAGATTTTTAAGCATGGACAAAATTGGGAAGAAAGAGGAATGAAATAAAAGGAGTGACATAATCTTAGGCCTTGAAGGAAATTTTAGTGATTTTCATACTAAGATCTTAGATTTAGAGCTGGATGGGACCTCAGAGGTCATATAATCTAACTCCCTCCCTCATTTTTCAAATCAGCAAATTGAGAACCAGGACAGCTAAATAACATGCAAAATAAAATCATACAGGTAGTATCTGAAGTGGAGTCTGAACCCAGACCCATTTCTCTTTCCATTCTCCCTTCCTGCTAATCCCCATCAGTTTACCAATAGACTAGAGAGAGTATTCATTGTCAGCATAAGAATTGGAACCCAGATCCCTCACTCCTAATCTCCCAGGGCCCTTTACGGTACTAGATGCTGCCTGAAAGGGAAAGGTGATTTTACTTTTGCTTTCAGATAATTCTGATATCAGAGATAAAAAAAATTTAAAAAAAACACTAAAAAAGTCTTGCTGTACATCCAGAGAGTTAGACAACCTATTAATCATTGCTCTGCTGGTGGGAGTGAAGGTATATAACCTGTTGGAAATAAATCAAATAGAAAAATTGACAAAGAAAGAATACAAATTTGGGAAAATATCAGTGTGATCCATTCATGTAGAATTCTATTTGTAAATGCTATATATGTGTTTATATGTATGCAAGTACTTTATATACATATGTATATATACACATGCATATGTGTGCATACATATATATACATAAACACAGGCACATGTATGACATTTTCTATATATACATGTGTGTGGTTATGTGTGTATCTATATAATTTGAGCCTCATAACAGCAGCCTAGACTAAGTAGCTATGAGATAATATCCTAATTTAAAGATGAAGAAATTGAGGTTTGGAGAGAGTAAGTGACTTACCAGCCAATGTGAAAGGACAAATTTGACCCCAAGTCTCTCCTGATTACTGGTCCATTGTTCTGTCTAGTACATCACAGTTAAACCAGAGTGTGAAGGATATTCTAATTATATTCATATTATATCCCTGACTAAATTGGAAGCTGCTTGGCCATAGGAATAAAAACTATATATATACACATACATATATACATACATGTATATGAATATACACCTATCTATATGTGTATGTATGTGTATATATATATATATATATATCAATTGATTGCTCAATCAATCCATATATCTGTCTATAGATAGATTATTAGCTAGAACTGGCAGTTCCAAATATAAAGGTACAAATAGTCTCTGCCCTCAAGGTACATGTGTTCAAAAGGGGAGTTAACACAAACAGGGGAAAGGTTCCTGGTGAGGGAAAACTTGGTCCTTCCAGTTATAGAGATAATGACAGGGAAGAGATTGTTACAATTCTTCCAAGACAGCTTAGATTCTGACTGAAATAGTGGGTCAGGTGAGGATCTCATTAATCATGGCAGCAGGGCTTCCAATATGAGGTTAATATCTCCAAGTCAATATTTCTAAGTCTGGTCTGCTGACAAGAAAATGACTGGTGAGTAAGAATTGTACACTTTTGGGGTAGGACTTCTTATCTCATCCTTCTCTTAAATCACCCAATGCATCTTTCCCATTTCTGGGAAGTCAGACACTCAATGAATTCACTGATTCATTGTCATTTGATAACAAAGCCACAAACTCTTGTGGCATTAAGGCAATACTTTGAAAATTGGAGAACTTTCTAATTGTTGAGAATCATTTTCTTCAGGCTGCCTGGTGCAGTGGAAAGAAAGGCAGTTTTGCAGTTAGGAAGACCTGGGATTAAGTCTTTTCTCTGTTACATACTGGCTCTGTAGTCCTAAACAAGTCATATAACTTCTTAGTGCCTTGGATAGCTCTCTGTGGTTTTAAGATGCAATAGTGTTATAGATCTCTGTTGATGGAGGGAGAGTCTTAACAGGTCTAGCATTTCCCCACAGTTTACTTCATGGAAGTGAGTGAAGCAAAAAGGTAATATAGTTATCTGTTAGGGGTATCAGAAATCTGTACCTGCATGGTTAGAGATCTTGGAAGGTAAGAAATGAGTGAAACTTTGTGTGTTTGGGGACTTTTACAGTTCTCTCAGCAGCAGTGAAGCTGTATCTAGGACAAAGGAATCAAGAAAAGATGTATGCCCCCCTTAAGTTTATAGCGTCTTGGGTTAGAAGGGATTGTGCTATTGATTTTCTTTGAAATACGTTAGGTATTCTGTGACAGATTTTCACAATAGTATTTATAATACCTTTGAAGAATGAAAGATGACTAATGATGTTAAAGTTGAAATTATACTGCTTAGCTCTTTTTAAATTTGGCAACTAGCGCTTTCCCCCAGTAGAAATAAACAACATTTTCTATATGTAACAGAATTGATCTTGAAAGTCCAGTATCTAATCACAGAAAAGGAGCCAGTACAGATGTAATTGCTGCCTCACCCCATGATCCCTTTCTGAGATAGGAACAAATTCCTTAAGTGAATTAGAAAAGAAGCATTGCCAGAGGATGGAGAATGAGGAAATTCAGGGTGATCTTTAAAAGTTAGTTCATTAAAGCCAGAAAGTCAGACTTGAAGAGGAACCCAGGTCTTGGTGAGTTTCATGGAACTGGAGAAAGGGAACTCTTATGACTCTTAAAGAACAGAAGGTTGGGGCTGAGGCAGCTACAGCAAAGCAAGGGGACAGGATTGTGCAAATCAGGCTGTTTGGACTGTTCAGGCACAGTAGTGTCAAGACAGATACTATACTGCTAATGTACTATCTCCTGAACTACAGACCCCCAGGTCTTCATCTCTTTTCTCACCTTGGACTCCCAGTAGGAGCTTTTCTATTTAAACACTGGTATATCTGTCAAACTCCTTCAACTTAAGTATGTACTGTGTCTTAACAAACTGCTGTTAACTACAGGCCTTCTTTTAGTCTGGGAGTATGTATTATAAAGGCATTTTGGGAAGAGCAGTGATGGGTTTGGACATCCGCATATAAGAGTGAGGGATAGCACTAACGCTGAGATGTTTTGCCAGAGCGCAGGATCTGGCTAGGGGCTAAGAGCATTAAGGAAAAAAAAAAGGATTAAAGATCCTTGGTCGCAGCTTCCCTGAGTAGAGAATATACATTTGTTTCTGATGTTCAATCATTTTGGTTGTCTGACTCTTCATGACCTCATTTGGGATTTTCTTGGCAAAGATACTGGAATAGTTTGCCATTACCTTCTCCAGCTTATTTTACAGAGGAGGAAACTGAGGCAGACAGGGTTAATTGACTTGTTCAGAGTCATACAGCTAGTGAAATATCTGAGACCAGATTTAGGTTCAGAAAGATGAGTCTTCATGATTTCAGGCCAGGTATTATATTCACTGTGCCACCTAGCCACCTGGAATGAACATTTATACTGGGAGATACATCTAGGTAATGAGTATGTAATGGTAAGAAAATTAGGAACAGGTAAAGAAGAAACCTGCTTACTGTTGCATCCTACTACTATAATATGTATTTCATCAGAAACTTAGAATTATTTAAAATATTTTTTAAATTAAATTTTTTTTGAATCTGTTTTGGTTTTGTTGGATAAAATATGGTACCAATTTCATTAAGAAGGGTAACTTTTTTAAGGAATTATTAATCATTGTCATAAATAGAATTATGTTAAATCAGTGGATAAAATGAAAACAGCTCTTTTTGAAAGCATTTAGCAAGCATACATACATACATACATACATACATACATACATACATACGTGTGTATGTATCTTTCTGATTGGACCTCTAAAGAGAAAAATAAAAAGCCTTCCCATATCTGAATCAGCAGCATGAAAACTTAGGGAAAGAAGTGATTTACTTCTGTAAAAAGTGCCATATAGCATCATGAGAGCATCAACTTAGAGTTATAAGGGGACTTATAAATTATTTTACCCACTTCCCTTTATTTTATGGGAAAACTGAGGCCCAGACAGGTGGATTAATATAACCAGTAATAAGCAAAGGTGAAATGAACCCAAGTCCCTAGGCTCCATATCCACTACTCTTCCTCATTAATGTGCCATATTCTCTCTCTCCACTGAATAGAATTTTTTGTGCATGGATATTATATAAATGAGGGTTAAGTGGGGAATCTCTGGTCATTCACTTGATGCTGTATGGATTTCCTGACATATGCAAAAAGGTGACAACTTCATTTACTCTACCATTTAAAAAAGTCAAAACCAAATTCAAAAAGCTTTAGAGGCTTTTAGTTAAAATGTTTTTAACAGGACAAAAAATATTTTATGTTTCTCTGTGAGGTTGTGGTCAGAGAAGGAGATTTTCCATGTGCACGTTTTTTGTCTTTCTGATGTCTAATATTCTTTGCCTTTTCATCTCTTTTTTTTCTCTCTGGGTTGTCTCCATCTGGTCTGTCTCCCTGGAGTAGATCTTCATGTTGGCTTGCATGGAGGGTTAAAGCAATGAAATAAGAATTTGCCCTTTCTTTTCCCTTTCAGACTCCTCTTTGATCCTTGGTCAACATCAGACCTAGCTTGGGGATATGAGAAGGGGGTTGCATTCAGGAACGAGGGTCTAACAATGGAGTTGTGTATGTTAGGTTTGAGAAATGCCTGTATGCCAATAAAATTATCCAAATATAATACAATACATTGAAGAATAAAGCCAGG